GCTGGCCAGACCTTTTGGCCCAGACACTAAAGCATCATGTGAGATGACATAAATATTGTCTCTAATGTCACTCAGTGATGTCCTCTGCCTGCTTTATATTTCAGGTCAGTCCTTTTATCAATGAGAACACAAGGCAGAAGTTCCTCATTTACAGTGGGAATAACTACCAGGGCCCAGGAGGGCTGGTAGACTATGTGGACAGAGATGTGATCCCAGATTTCCTGGGAGGAGATTGCATGGTGAGTTTGCCATCCTGTTGGGCAAGTGGGATCTGCAAGCTCCTTTTTTTTTTTTTTTTTTTTTTAAATATTTTTTGGTGTGTCATCATTCCTCCCACCAACAGCCTGACCTTCCACTCCCTTCAGAAAGACGGTTAAATCTCCATTCTGGCTGGGATACCCCTGTGCTGAGCACGGTGCGGTTAATTTTGTGCACAGGAGATTTCGCCCTGAAGTGGTGATGCTGCTCTGGAGAAAATGGAGTTAGAGCTCAGCTCTCTACACGCAGCTTAGATAAACTCTTATAGTTCAAGTAAATTTAGTCCTGCTGTGAAATCTTATCCCAGCTGAGGGTGTCATCCTCTGTCTGACAGCTGGCTGCTGTTTGTAGTACAGGGGATTTGATACCTTCCCACTAGATTCATATGAATCCTCTTATTTGTTTGTCTGACTCTTCCAGTGTACTGTCCCAGAAGGCGGGCTTGTTCCCAAGTCACTTTATCAAACAGAAGAAGAGCCTGAGAACTCGGATCACATCCGGCTGTGGACAGAAACCATCTATCATTCAGCGAATGTCCTCAAAGGAGCTCCACATGAGGTACAAACCAGAACTTTGTGAGGCCAGGGGAGGTGCTGTGCTGGTGTCGGTGCTGTGGTCCTTTTGTTGAGGCTGCCTAGAGCAGCAAAAGGGCTCCCGAAGGGCGAGCATGGGATGGTCCAGCAGCAGCGTGCCTTTCTTGGGAAGACTAGTGCTAGCAAACAGCTAGAAGTGTGGAGGTTAAGAACAGCAATTTGAGAAGCAGTGCCTCTTATCTCTACTGTGGCCTGATCTGCAAGATACAGTCTCTTACTCTGCCTTCTTGGAGAAATAAAATTCTCTCCGTTTCCTGTCTGATAGTACCGCTTCCATTCTGTGCCAGAGCTAGGAGAGTAACAGTGGTGATACAAGAAGGAATGTCCTGGGAACATCCTGGTGGAGGGGCACCACAAAACAAAATGTCTAAAAGAAATAACTCAGTGTTAAAACTGTGCACAAACTTCATCGATGATGAGTAACTCCGATTTGGTCTGCTCAGATTCCTTAAAAAAGCAGTGCCTTTTGGAGCTCGTAGCTGCTCTCTGTGTTCTAACACCTCTCTGCGGTTCCACTGAGGTTTTCCTAGTAGTAGTAAAGGATTTACAAGCAACAGGGGAGAGCTGGGGTGAAGAACGTCCTGTGTCAGAAGGCTGGCAATGGGAATCGGTCTGTGTCCTCCTTAGGGATCAAGAGGGATAGCTTGACCGAAGGCTTGTAGAGCAAAGCGTGTTTGCAGGGTGAGGGGGAATGCACTGGCTGCCACCTGAAGACCTGATTTTTACCAAGTGCTTGTTCCATTCCTGTCTTAGATAGTTGTGGAGATTCTGGAGGGGGAATCAGTCATCACGTGGGACTTCGACATCCTGAAGGGAGATGTGGTGTTCAGCCTCTTTCATTCCAAACGAGCTCCTGAAACAAATCATAAAGAAGCCACGTTGCCAAGTACCTCTGCTGCTGGTGACAACGTGCAGCTGATCGATAAGTCGTGGGTCCTTGGCGTGGATTACAGCCGCCTGGAATCTCCACTGGTTTGCCGGGAAGGAGAGAGCATCCAGGTCAGATGTGTTGAGGTCTTGGTATGATCTTATGGTCCTAGAAAACTCCAAAATGGTCCAGCAGTGGGGAGGGGAAGGAACTGATGGCATGGGAAATCATGCATTGCCTGGAAAGAGTTGTTGTGGTCATTATTCCCTGGATATTCCTTGTGAAAGTGGCTGATCTGGCAGCCCTAATTTAGGCTAAGCCATTGGAGAGGGATTCAATAAACCATGATAAAAAAGGTAATTGAAAATAACTTTTTTTTTTTTTTTTTTAACTAGCGTTACAGGCATGTGGCTCAGGCCTGTTAAAATAAGTGAATGGTATGTGCGTCCTGAAGTAGTCAGCTCAATAGTTCGTTTTGCCTTTCTGTTTCTTGAGACACCTGGTGGTTGCTTGACAGAACTTTCCTTCTCCCCTAGGGATCTCATGTGACTCGCTGGCCTGGCTTTTACATTCTCCAGTGGAAGATGCACGGCCCTCTGCCCTGTGCTGGCACTACCCTCCCTCGGGTGGACGATGTTCTGGCCTCTCTGCAAGTTTCCAGTCATAAGTGCAAACTTATTTACTACTACGAGGTGCTTGCATCCAAGGACTTCAGGTAAGAGATTTACCGAGAGGATTTACTGTACAGCTTGTAAGAGAAGAAGCCAAGTGAGAGGCCTGAGTGCGGGTAAAACATCCAGAGAGCAGTGACATCCATGGGACACACATTTCATTGATGATAAGTTAGATGGACACAAATTTTGTGGCGTTTTGTGCAAAGCATCTCCTTCAGTGCTATAGGTAATAAGGGATCCCTTGGCCCTATGTCCAGTGCTAGAATTTGTGCTTCAGTTTTTGCTTAGAGTTGCCTGAAGAGGAAAGGGGATGTTCTGATCTTTATTGGGAATATTTTGAGAAGTTACTTTTGGAGTAACTGAAATATCAACTGGGCTCTTTCCTTTCGTATTTCGTTTGGCATTGAGCAGGATGTCACTCGTGACTTGAAGAACACTTGCTGAGCAGGTGAATACATCAACCTTGGCAGGACCTGCCTTGCCTCCTTTAATGCCAAAAGTCCTTTTCAAATCACCCAGTGATTTTAATTCCCTGCAAGCACTTGCCCTTCCTTGAAAGGAAGCATGAGATATAACAGACTTTGCAGGTGGCCACCTCAAGGATGTCACTTGGCCAGAACAGCAGCACATTCCCTGCTTCAGTTGTTCAAACCTGTTCCTTGTTGCATCGGGAACAGGAGGCTGTCACGGCTGTGGCAAACCCAGCATTGCTTTTGGCAGAAGGAGCTGAAGCCTGTGGCTTGACGTGCTGAATTTGGGACTCTCCTGCTCAGCGGGCTGGAGTTCTTGGGTTAGCTGTGGCAGCTGCATTCGTGGCGCTGTGCTGTGCTTGGTGTGCTCTTGAGTTCTCTGCTCAGGGGCAGGGGCTCCAGCTGTGTCCCACTCCTGGAATAACTGCAAGAGACCAAGTGCAGTATCTGTAGATGGAGGGATGAAAGAAGTCTCCACCAAATTAATTTTTCGTTGTGACACAGAGATTCTTAGAGACCAAGTTGAAAGTGATGGGACAAAAAAAATAAAATACTTCTGGGAAATGATACAGAGCATAAGTCGATCTGTCAGATCTCCAGAGCAATCTGTTAAGAGCTGTCCTACTAACAAACGCGCCTGCTTTCTCCCATCCCAGGGGATCCATGTCAAGCCTGGAATCTTGCAACAGCGGCTTTTCCCAGCTGAGCGGAGCCACGACATCTTCCAGCCAGTCCCAGAGCAGCTCTCACCTTTCTAGATAGCAGGAACTCAAGGCTGCAGCGGCAAGAAAATAATTGCTGGGGCCTTCCCGGGTGCCTCCACCCTGAGCTGCTCTTGTGCACCAAACCAAAGAGCCTTGAGGCAGTCGTTGGCGTGACCGCAGGTAGCAGCCGTTCGGACACAGAGAGGCTTCTGGGAGCTACTTTCAACCTAAAAACTTGTAGAGTTCAAATGGCAGAGGTGGAAATTTTTGTATCGCCGCCTACTCCTCAAGTAGTCTTTTTCACAAACTGTGTGTTTTTTGGACGAATGTGGGTTTGCATGAATCCATGTATTGCTCAGCTCCAAAGGGCTCTTTCCAATCAGTCCTATGTGTGGTCGAGGAGACTGATGTTGCCTTACCTGTTTGGTCTCTAGGACTAGATTATTCATGTGTAGCAAACTCGGTGAGTTTTTCTGGGTGCCCAGGGTACTAATTACACGTCAGAAAGTGAAACAGGCATTTCAGGTGCATGGGCGTGAAGTGAACTGTCAGTACCTTTACTCAGATAAGATGTTTCAGAAGTCGGTTTCGGGTCAAACCAAAAACCTTTTCCAATTGGATGGGATGCTATTAGGAAATGTGTTGGATTATTTTTTAATTTTTTTTTTAACCTGCTGAGAGACAAAAGTCAAAATGTTTTTTTCTGGAAAGTACGGGCAGAGAACCTGCCTCCAGTGGGCATCATCTTTCTCAAAGACAGACTGCTGTTCCTTTTCCTCAGGTTTACAAGCAATAATGAGTAGATCTGACCCATCTCAGCCAAGTGGATGGGAACTGAATCAAATTATAAAGGGCTAAGAAAAGCAATATTTTATTTCCTGAAGGCACAACCTTTTATGGCAGTATTATTATAGCTTCTTTAAAACATGAGCTAACTTGAAGACTTTAAAAAAAGAAAAGCACGTATGTATTTAAGCACTTACTGAAACATATTTATTCAAATGCTAGCTTATTTTAAATTAATTTTTAACTTATTTATAATTTCAAAAATGCCTATTTATTAAATCCAGTCACCTCTTTTTTAACAGGACAAGCTTTGCTTTAGGAAGGAATAACTGATTGCCTCCAATCCCAAGAGATCTTTCTGCTTAGGTTCACCTCTTTGTGATTGCTGGATGTTCTTGGGTAAAGGGCTCTATCGTACGTAGTGCCTGGGGTAAGGGCTCTGCATCACCTTTTTCTGCAAGGTAAGGTTGGAGTCCGGTGCTTTTTGGACTCTAGAGGAATGTTTCTTAGGATTGAGTTCTCTGACTGAGTTCTTCTGCCTTTGGCATTTTAGCATAATCAGAGTTCAATGGAGAGGGAAAAGCGCTTCCTTTGTGCTGGAAAATCAAGAGTTCCAGAATTAAAAGTGCACGTGTGTATCCCTCCTGTAAAATCCTTTATCCATAATTAATCCTGATGCTAGAAATAGAGTTTCAGACTGATTCCCAAAGCATCAGGAGCAAACCCAGCCACGTACTCCTTGCACTGTTTTGAGATTTCAGCTTCTTGTGGCTTGATTCTTAAATGATTGGTCACACCCCACAGTGGCAACGTTTTCCTGTGGTTTTTTTCACTTTGCTCTGGTTAAGAATCTCTTCCATTGCACTGAAAAATGGACTCTGGTTTCAGGTTCTGAGCTGGCAATGCAGCAAGGCCCTCCCTGCTCCCTGGCAGTGTCTCGGCTGTGAAGTTGGTGAGCTCATGCTGTGGTCACGTAACTCGTTGGGTACTTAGAAAATAGCTCCTCGGTAAATCAGGGCTTTTCTCCAGGTTTCAGATATTCCGTATGCAAAACACAACACCTACCTCAGAGAGCTGTTGCCACGTTTCCTGCATGGTACAAGAAAAAGGATGCGACGCCATAGGTACAGAGTGTTGTGCCATTGTTTCACGATTAAATACAGCCATAAGTGAAACCTTTTATTCTCAGCGATTTTCAGGTTTGCCCCGTCCCACCCTTCACTGGCTTCTATCTTCTATCCTGGTAGGGCTGTGAGAGGCAAACACGGTGGGCACGCACTGAAGGCGGGCATCAGACTAGATGGGGCAGCAAAGCTGGAATACCGAGTTGGTTTTGTTAGACATTTTGCTGTCTTTAGGGTTGGAAAAGGGCTTTTTTTAACTGCTTTGGACAGCACAGCTTAGCTCTGCAGGGACAAGAGACAGCCTTGTTTGCTTCAGTCTTATGGCTGGCTGGTTTGGTTCTATCAGTTCCCTTTCAAGTAACCGGGAGGAGGGAGGGGAAGAAAAAACGCCACCAACTTTTAATAAGAATTCAGAATCCCCTATCTGATTTATTCATGAAAAGATTTTTGAAAATGCTATACTCAACCGGGAGGAGGGAGGGGAAGAAAAAACGCCACCAACTTTTAATAAGAATTCAGAATCCCCTATCTGATATTTTCAAAAATCTTTTCATGAATAAGCTATACTCCAGTCATCTTGAAACCTGTAACACTCACTCAGAATTCCCAGTAGGGAGCGAGAAATCCAACTCCCCATCCAGCTCCAGTGCGAAGCCGCTGGGAGGGAGGCAGTAGCTAAGCCCGACCGTGCCAGAGTCAGAAGAATCCCTCACTTCAAAATTGGTTTGATTAGCTCATGATTTTTTAACATCTGAATTGTTTATACTGTGAGCGAATAATGCAAGCAGCAGAGCTCTTTTGACTCAAGGACTAAAACTGACAAGCATTTGTCAGAGATTCCTGCCTGCTGTTAGCTTTTAATGTTCTTCCTTCACATTTGTGAGGATTCTTATACGTGGGTATTTCTCTTGGAAGGCTAAATTGGAATTGTGTGACATGCACTGGCTTTTAACACTGTCAGCATCCACTTCCAAGCTATTAGTTGTATATGTAAGTTAAAATGGGCATTAGTTGTTGTGGTTTTTTCTTTAGCAAGCACTTTCTTTTCCTCCCTTGCAGTTGTCTTCATTTTTTTGTATACTGAAGTCTTGATTTTTTTGCAGCCAGAAAAGACCCAAACATTAAGAGCACACTAGCAAAATGCAGAGCGCTTTGTAATCGGTTACTTGACAACAAATGCTCTTTGTTACGATATTTGTAGGTTCTGGTAGGAGCTGTACGTTTCTGTTTGTCAGAAATAAAAAAAAGCGTCTCTGAAAAACATTCCAGATGTGTCTGATTGTTCGATGTCACTGTTAAAATTGCAGTGGACTCTGAAAATGTTAAGCACGTGTGCTGCGCTTTCTACCCGTAGAAAGAGAGGTAAGCCTTGCTGGTATTCAGCTATTCCTACCTTTTAACTAAAATGTTAGTTTAACTAAAATGTTAGTCTTATTTTCTTCTGTAAAACCAGCATTTTCAGTGTTTATTTTCATACCACAGGGTAGGCTGGTACAATATGTGGTTATCTGAAATGAAAAGGGCCCAAGGGGGTTGAATTCCAGGTGAACTGGGACAGGATTGCGTCTTCCTTCTGCAACTGAATATTAAGAATTTGACGTTCAGACAGTTATCACTAATAGACTTTATTAGAGTTTCAAATAGACTTCTGTAAATGATAGAAAAATAGAATCTTCCAGTTACAGGCTGATTTGATGCCAACAGCAGCACAAAAATTACACAATCTTTGCTTGGAGAGATAAAAACAGAGTGCGTAAAAACGTTAATATTCAGGCTCAGGCTACAAACCCCCCCAGTCCCCCCGTGCAGCATTCAAGCAGCACATTAAAGGCCGGGTTTCCCCCACATGGAAGCAAACAGCAAACTCAAATACTGTTTTTTGTGTGTGTGTATTCTAGTAAAACGTCCGATTTCCAGCCAAGATATTCATGATCTTGGGTCACTTGAAGCGGTCCCCGCTTGCAGCCGTTCCCTCCAAGGAGGGCAGCGAGGGCTGACCCCGCTGGACTCACTTGGGCCGTGCTTGTGGTGCTGGGTGGCTGCTGCTGCTGCTTCTTCCCTGCCCCAGGTCGGAAGGTCCCTTGGGAACAGCCCACGCGGCTGGACAGAGCCACGCCGGCTTCGGGGAGGTATGAGAGAACGCAAGGAGGAAATTTTGGAGCTGAAAAGGTGTGGGATTTTTTTATGTTCCTGTGCTGTAAGAATGTACCGAAAATGCAGCGTTCATCACGTGCTTCTCAAACTACTTCTAAGAAGAAAGATTCGGCGAGAAAACACTCTGGCCCTGCAGTCAACGCAGGCCGGGTGCAAGAAAGGCCCAACCCTGTGTCAGTTGGCCTTTGAGCCCAGCGCGGTGGCCAGGAGGAGGAATGCTGCGGTTTTACCATGTGCTGCGCCTGCTTCAGCACTGTAAAATGGCTTCTTCTTTTCCAGTTTTCTGATAGAAGTCTGAGCTTACTGGGGAAGGGCAGACAGTTACAGACTTGGAGCATCCTTAAGCCAGCCTCCTTGAGCCTTGCTTTATGCCCGAGGTGATTTATCTTGCATCTTAAAACCACTGCTGCTCAGGTGAGAAGGGACTAAGGCTTACAGTCCCCACCCCTTTCCCTCAAGGGCGGGAGGGAAGCAGCCCATTTCCTTTCTGCTGCAGCCATGGAATTCCCTGACCCATGGGCTTGTGCCCCACATCCAGCAGAGGAAGGTGGGGAAGGCAGCCACGTTCTCGGCAGGGCTGGGCCAGAAGCAAGAGAATTTCTCGGACTCCAGGGACCTTGCTGCTGCTCTTGAGTTGTTAGTCAGCAGTTCCCACGCTGGGTCCAATAGCCCCTGTAGCAGTCGGTGCTTAGTGGCTGAGTAAAGCGCCTCCTCTCTTCTCAGCCGGGGGTCTGAAGGAGTGCCTGGCCTGGGTCTTGAGTATCTTCCGTCTCGCAAGCAGCAGAGGTGGAGGCGTGACTGGCTTCCCCGTTCATCTCCCTCAGGGGGTGGTACAGATAGTCACCGCTCTCAGGGTGCCTCCCTGACCTGGCCTGCAGAAAAAGGCCCACATTTCCCACGGCGCTCATCACCAGCAGCACAGCCAGGACAGAGGTAACAGAGATCCAGTTTTTTCTGACAGACAGAAGAAAAATCCATGTAAGGAACAGCTCCTGACCTGCTTTCACACGTTGCTGGCATGCGAGGTTTGTACTCCCTGCTCTGTCCTCACAAGCTTGGAGTTCTGCCCTCAGGCAGGTGCAAACCCACTCTATGAACGCCTGTGAGGGGCTGCTCTGGCGGCCAGAGCAAAAGGATGTTTTCACAGCCTCACCTCTCCCATCACGAGAGCAACAGGTGGTATAATGAAGTTGGAACAGGGATGCTTTGGGCAGTGAAGCAGCAGGTCTGCCCCGGCACCCAGGGGCTGGTGCAAACAGCTCCATCGTGCAGTGGCTGGCATGGACTCGGTGAGTCCACGCACCCGTGTATGGTGAGTATTACACACTTACTCTGACAGAGAGAATTTTTCTTTGCTCCTTCCCTTATTCTGGAAAGCCAAACACTGCCCAGCTGGAAAACAAAGAATAGAGGCAAGAAAGGCAACCTTGGGCAGCGGATGTAAAATTCCACTAAAAAACAGCAAGCGTAGGGCAGATGACAGCCAGCCAGAGCTGGTAACTAAGCACACACATTGTATGCTAAAAGTGCTCTTTGAACTCATTTTTTTTTAAATCCAACCACTGTAACCAGAGGTACCTTTGTTTAATTGGTCCTGTATCGCCAACTCATAGGTGATGTTGCAGCTGCCCGTCTCGCGGTCACAAGGACACGTGTGCTCACACGCACATTGCTTCTGGCAGTTCGGCCCGTACCAGCCCAGGGGACACTCTGGGGAATCAATTACAAAGAAGTTGATTGTTGTCAAAGCTCCACCTGCTTTGAAACCATCCAGTCTATTGCTGCTACCCCTCCAGCTCCAACCCTGCCTGGTTCCTCAGCTGCACCAGCCCAGTGCCAGGAAGGATGGGCATGCTTGGCCTGAAAGGAGAGGCTCAAACCTTAAGCCTTGCTTCCCCTGGCAGCACGAAAGCACCAAACTGTGAGTTAACTTGCTTATGTCAAGGAGGACGTTTTGCAAAGGAGAGCAGACTGGCTGAGTGTTTCGAGGCTGGGACCAAGGTATCACTAACATAACCACGTGCATGTGAAGCTTACACCCACACTGCGATTACCTTGTTGCCAGAGCAGGCTGCTCAGGGGGATACACGGAGGACCTCACGTGTGCTGGAAAAGCTGGGCTGGTTAAACAACCCTGAACGTCGTTCGCTCTGTTAGTGCCAGCAAACGCACGCTGGGGTTTGAAGGTTGTAAGCCAGACCAGCCCTTTGGAACATTTCACACTCGCTGCCATGGAGCCCCTGCAGCCCAAGCGTGTGCCTAGCAGGCCCCACACTTGCTTTGCCTACAGGAGGTGGCTCAGGTGCAACCCAAACCGTTACTCCCAGGGTATTACCCAGAGCAGCCCTTACCTTGCTCGCAGCTGGTGCCGTAGTACCCAGCTGGGCAGGAACAGGTTCCGTGCACGGGCTCACATGAGCCACCATTGTGGCAGTGGCATTTCTGGGTGCAAGCGTCTCCGTAGAAACCACGGGCACAAGCTACAGGAGACAAGCAGAGATCTCATCCAGGCCTGCTCCCACCCCGCACTTCCACCCGCGCAGCGCCTGCTGGCACAGGGTGTCTGTGGCTGCTCAGAGAACAGAAGCTGAGCCTGCGCCTTGGACAAGGAGCAAGGGCTTCAAGTGCTTCGCACCACAGTGAGCTGAAGATGATCAGGCTGCGATTAACCACACGCTGACAACAAGAACAGCGCACCGTGTGGCCTTCCCCTTTGGGAAGCCACCCACCGCGACGGGCAGCCAGGTGTTAGGACATGGCTCAGTCGCCTTGTTGGCTAGGAAGAAGTGGAGTGGAAGTTGGCGTTACCTTCGCTGCAGTTGCTGCCAGTCCAGCCGGCGTCACACAGGCATCCAGCTGTGCAAACACACACAAACAGGCATTAGCAGCAATAGAGGAAGTCTTGGAAAGAGCAGGAGCTCAAAATTAGGAGCCTCAGCTTCTTGGAAGTAGCACAGAAATGAGAGTGAGCAGGCATAGAAGACCAGAAGCCAAGGGGTGCATGTTACAGCAGTTGCTAGATTCAAAACGAGTTTATAGAAAAGTAGCAACTGCACGAGTCAAGTAAAGAAGGAACAATGAGTGGACGGGGTAAAGCTCAGCTGCTGTCACACAGTGCAATATGCTGACCTTCCCATTCGATTTACGTACCAGGAGTGCAATCCCAGAGGAAAACCGAGACATGGAGGGTGAAATCAAGTCCTGCTAAAGGTCTAGTTTACAGAGCTGAGTCCCAGCCTAGCCCTGCTGCCATCTCCTAAACGTGTTCTGCCCATCCCTACTGCTGCTTCAGCTGCTGGAGGGAAGGGGGAGAGCAGCTCCGTTCACCAGGAAGGTAAGGCAGGGGCTGAGGCTCACAGCACCTGCTGGCGCCAGGGCAGGGGCTGGCTGGGCAGTCTGTACCTGCGGCCCTAAGAGGGTGCGCTCCAAGAAGTGCTGCTCTGCACAGCGAAGGGCAGCAAAGCTGCTGAAGTCTCAAGAGTAAGACATCTCAGGACCAGCTGAGGTAAGCAGGCAGGTAATTAATTTTATATATATATACACACACACGTATATACTGCCCAGGCCCGTGCTACCCCGAGAGCTATACCCCTGTGTTAGAAGCCTCGGCGCACCGCAGGGACTCACAGTCAGTGCAGAGGCCATGAAGGCTGCAGTTGGAAGGGCCACAGTCCAAAACGTCGCAGGCTGGACCTCTCCAGAAGCCCCCGGCGCAGCGGCACTCCCCAGCCACGCAGTCCCCGTGGCCGCTGCAGTCGTCGGGAGTCCCCGTGGCCTCTGCAGTCGTCTGGCTCACCGGCCGGCTCGTGGATGCACACGACAGTCGAGATGCTCCGAGGGCATCGCCACATGTTGTCAAAGGAGCTGGGGATAGCAGAGGGGTGTCACATTAGGGCACAGCTGTGCCGCTGCCGGCCCTGCGTGAAACCAGTCACTGCAATCTACAGATTTTCATCCTGATTCGCCTTGGCAAATGGGAACATTAACAATGAGAAAATATATAACTAGATTTGAGTCAGCATTTCAACTGAGCGTTAGCTCCTAGTGGGTAGGAGTCATTTCAAACATGGGATTACGGAAAGCAACACAAAAAGCCTCTCTTTAAGCATTCCCAGGTTTCCTAACCTCAGAATTCAACACGCCTGTTCTTGAATATTGCTTTGATCTAAGTGACATCACTGCAGTTACAGCAATACTCGGCTTTCACCTGTCAGCCTGCAAACTGAATTTTAAATCCCTCCATCTGTACAGTCAGGAATTACTAAGAAGCTAAATATAAAGTAAAATATTCTTTAGGTTCCCTCACGTGAGGCAGGGAAGGGTCTCCAGAACAGTGTTTCTCTTCTGTAATAAAAAGCTGTTGACAGAGCTCAGCTCATTCCTGTGAAAGTGCAGCTCTCAAACTTCCAGTCCAAGAGCTGTTTCCTTATGTGATTCCCATATTAGGCCACCAAGTCATGTTGAACAGCTGTGCCATATGTCTCTGAAAACAGCTCAACTTTAATCCCAGGTGACAAAGTGGGGAAAAAAATGGTGTCACCAAATCACTTTAAATTTGAGTCACTCTCTCAAAACCTGTCACTTGGCTTCACGTTGTGATCGCCCAGCAACGCGGAGGGGTAGGACCGAGTCCTGCACGCTAACAGGAGCCGCACCGTTACCTACCAGTGCTCAGAGGGGTAGTTTGCGAGGGTCCCATTCAAGACCAGCGTTGCAGACCCTCCACCATCCAGGTTGATAGCGTTGACAATTCCCTGCTGCTTCAGAAATTCGGCCATTTCCCAGAGGTTGACGCTGCGAAAGCAAACAGTTATTTGTGGCTTGTTCCCACCCCTGGCAGCTGCAGCGGCGTTCCACTTCCAGAGACAGAATTCACAGACTGATCTTGCACCCGAGACCTCACCACAGCCCTGGACGTACCCTCGGGATCCCGTCTGTCCGTCCACATGAACCAAGACCAGCTGCCCCTGACTGTCATGTCCAACTGCAGTTCTGGCTGATATCACATTGATGAATTTTTCAAAGGTTCCTGTGCGGGAGAGGGAAAGACAGAACTGGCTGTTCAGACACATCTGTCTGGGAAACTGCTCCCAGCAAGGAGCTCGTCTAAACTGAAGCACTGTGAGAACAGAGACCAGCTCCTCCTGTTCATCCAAGCCCATCTTGAAATAACATTTCCAGAAGCGCTCTCGGTGAGGTTTTGCACCTCACCAGCCCCACACAGGTGAGCACAGCCTCATTTTGTGCTGTGCTCGCTGCAGGCTTGGGGTAAAGTAGCACCAAAAGAAATCTGGACCTCTTAGGTGAGTAGAAAACTGCAGCTAGAAAATGTAGCTTCCACTGCTACCCAGTCCTTCAACAGTCCCATCAGAAGGATGATGGAGAGATGACAGACTTGTGAGAAGGACATTCCAGACCCAGGCTGAAGCTGGGCTGTGCAATATTTACCTGTGGTTTGAGTTTCACCACACTCGGCCATTTGACTCTGACTGACGTACACTTCTCCGTCCCTCAGGAGCCAAACTACCCCACTCACAAGCTGCATGAAAGGGTTTGCTTGGTCCAAGACGTCTTCCTCAGACAGGTAACTAGGAAAGAGAGACCAGGAGGGGTTACCCACAGTCACAGCAGCGTCATGTGAAAGCCTCTGCTGCTGCCAGCAGGCTTCAGGAGTGGGAGAAAGTGGCTGAAGGAAGGCTACAGCCAACAACCAGAAGCCAAGTAGTGCAAAACGTGACTTTAGCAGCCAGAGCGGACCTCGTTCTCTGCTATTCCACACAAAACCACTGGTCCCAGGCCACTCTGCCTGAAACAACTCCCACCAGCAATGTTCCCAGTGGGCCTGAGCCAGGATAATAAGGGCAGAAAGTGACGGCAGAGCCACTGCCAAATACTCTGGGACCTGTGGAAGCAGCTGTGACATCCTGCTCTCTATCAGCCTCCGTTTTGCAAAAGAAGTGACAGCAAACAGCTTTGGCAAGCGTTTTCAGCAACAGCACCCAGGCAGCCTGCAGAACTGAAGGACAGTTCAGCAAATCATTTCCACAATCAAGTGTCATGTGTCACTGCGAGGTGCTTCTCAGGAGGTATTCTTCTCTCAAGAATCAGGGTGCTGAGTAACATCTGCCTCATCAGCACCTGATGTTACATGTTTGCAGCTGGCAGGAGAGGACGGCCAAGCTTTCACTATAAGCTCCGCCAAGTGGCTTTTGGTTTAAACCCAATTGCTCTCCACGCTCCAGACATGTCTTGTGGGAGCTGGACACACAGGTTTTTAGCCTCCATACATGCAGACAAAGAAAGCTTCGCAATTTGTAGAAAAGTGTAATTGGAAGATCTCTGAATGGAAAAACATGGAAAACCCACAGGAAGGGAACACAAAGGCTGAAAATGGATCAAATCAGGCAACAGCCCGAATGTGAATTAATCAACTGCCACCTTTTAAAGCTTGCAATTATCCACTGCCAGTCTAGGTGACAGAGGCAGGATCTTTGCTTCTTGGAGGGTAGCAATGTGCCCCCATTTCTTCCAGAACACGACACAAGAAAGAGTTTCAGTGTAGATAATTAAGTCTGTTGGAGCAGTGGGGAAAGTAATTTGCACTTGACCCTTTGACACTTTATCACAAGCAGGGGGACATGATCACAGACCCTGTCACTTATGGGGGACTTTAACCATCCTGGTATCTGGAAGAGCAACACGGCAGAACACAGGCAACCCCGGAGATGCCTGGATTCCGACGTAACAGTAACTTAACAAACTTTTTTAAAGTCAAGGGCGGTCAATCACAGGAACAGGTTTGCCCAGAGAGGTTGTGGAGTCTCCATCCTCAGAAATGTTCAAAACCTGCCTGGACGCAGTCCTGAACAACCTGCTCTTGCTAACCCTGCAGTCCCTTCCAACCTCAGTGCGTGTGTGCTGCAGCCAGAGCAGTTGCACAGTCCCCTCTGCCTCTCCTCTGTGGGGACGACAGAGACCTCTCCCTCTTCTACCATAATGAAGAGTACATGTTGCAGCTTGGGAGCAGAGACAGAGAAGTCTAGGCAGATAGAGGTTGTTAGAGTAACTTATCCAGCTTTTCTCCATCCTAGGGAAAAAAAGCCAAGAGCCAGAGAGACAGGTCAGTGGGGGTAGGACATCCCGAACTTCAGCATTCAAAACATGCTTCTGCTCTAACGGGGAGAGGCCAAGCAGGCATGGCCTGGGCAGCAGGGAGGAAGAGCGCTCGCCGAGCTCCAAGGTCTTACCCGAACACCATGGTGCCATCCTTGCGGATGCCAAACTGAGCGTTTTGCAGGCCTCCAGAGTTTCTCACCAGCTTTCCATCGCTCACGACGTTCCCAAGACACTCTCCGGTTCCCATGTCAA